ACTAAGCCAGGAAGCACCTTCAGTGACCATCTGAGAAGTTGCCACTTGGAGGTGTCTTTAGGGTCAATGTAAACACTGCCTTTTCTCTGAAAAGGCAGTGTTTACATGAAAATGCCTGAAGGGAGCTATTATACTCACCAGAACAACTAAATTAAGCTGTAGTTGTTCTGGTGACTATAGTGTCCCTTTAAGTGGAAAGTAGGCTGATGTGAACTCTGTTGGTAAGGGGAACAGGAGGAGGTGTTGAGGTCAGGTGGCTAGGACTGGAATGGATTACTGTGGAGGTAATTTTGGCCTCCGTATAGAGAGTCACGGAGGGCACTAGTGATCTCAACAGTTTTCTGGATTTTCTGAAAAGTAATGATATGGGTGCCTGAGTAGGTCTGATGAAGGTTTTGTTTTCACCGGTAAGAGGCCAAGAGCCAGACTGAGTAAAATTGAGAAGTATTAACTATGAGATAAGGTTTGCTTGGTTAGGGAGTAAAATGAAGAGAGCAAGTGAGGTTCAAGATATATTTGTATGCATGATTAGAGTTGAGCGAACCCGAAACGCAAAGTTTGGGTTCGTACCGAACATTAGGTTTTTTGGACCCCGGACCCGAACACGGACATATCACTGTACGTTCGGGTTGGAGTTTGGTGTTCAGCGATTTAATGGCGCATTTTCAAAGGCTGCAGGGCAGCCAATCAACAAGCGTTTGACTTGTGTGCCCTTAGAAGCCATCACAGCCATGCCTACTAATGGCATGGCTGTGATTGGCCAGTGCAGCATGTGACCCAGCCTCTATATATAAGCTGGAGTCGCGTAGCGCCGCACGCACATGCGGTCTTATTTGTGTAGGGAGAGGATTCTGCTGCTGATAGGGACAGCTTAGGAAAGAATTCTGCAAACTAGTACATTAGTGGGGTGGGGTGCACTTCATATCTGAGAGTCAAATAGAAGCTTCAAATACCGCGGTTACATCAGAGTTTTAAAAAGTAAATTTTTTTGTTGCTAAATAGTACATTAATGGGATAGTACATTAGTGGGGTGCACTTCATATCTGAGAGTCAAATAGAATCGTCAAATACTGCTGTCACATTGCAGTTTTAAAACTTAAAATTTTTGGAGTGCTAAAAAGTACATTAGTGGGGTGCACTTCATATCTGAGAGCAGTGGCGGCTCTAGACTTGGCGAGGCCTTAGGCAAAACTCATACATGAGGCCCCCACTAACACCATTATTGGAAAAAACAGCAGTTGACTTGTGTGTATAAGAAGCTGTAGATATATTGAAGGGCGGGCTTGCAGTACTGGATATAGAGAACTAGTCTTTGTATACGTCGTTGCATTGTCTACCTGTGTGTGCCTGAGAGTGTGTGTCTGGTAGTGAGTATCTTTGTATATGTATGCATGTTTCTCTGAGCATGTGTATGTTTGTGTTACTGCCTGTGGCCTTTGGCATTAAGTTCATGGCGAAGCTATGTTTTATGACAGTGTGTAGAATGATTGCCTTCAGGGGGTGACAGAGTGAATAAAGGAGTAACTGTGGCAGGGTGATTGTAAAAAGGGTGCCAGAGTGCGGAGAGTGGTGCCCGTGTGTTTAGAGGGAGAGATAGTGTGTATGGAGGGGGGTGACAGTGTGTATGGAGGGGCGGTGACAGTGTGTGCGGAGAGAGGTGACATAGTGTAGGGAGGTGGCATAGTGTGAAGGGGTGGCAGAGTAAGAAGGGGTGACAGTGTGAGAGGGTTACATTAGTGTAAGGGGTGTTACAGAGTAAGAGGGGGGTGACAGAGTAAGAGGGTGACATTCGTGTAAGGGGTGTGACAGAGTAAGAGGGAAGAGACAGAGGGGGGAGACCTAGTGTGAGGGAGGGTGACATAGTGTGGGGGGGTGACAGGGTGAGAGGGGGGTGACAGAGTGAGAGGAGGTGACAGTATTAGGGGGTGACAGTGTGAGGTGGGGTGATGGTGTGTGGGGAGTGACAGGATAAGGTGACAGAGTAAGGGGGGTGACAGTGTGGGGGGTCACAGGGTGGGTGACACAGTAAGAGGTGGGGTGATAGAGTGAGGGGGTGACAGGTGAGGTAGCAGGTTGAGAGGGGGTGACAGGTGGGGTGGCATGGTGAGTGACAGTGTCAAATGTGGGGTGAGAGGGGAGGCAGGGTGAGGGGGTGACAGTGTGACGTGGGGTGACAGTGTGTGGGGAGTGACAGGGTGAGGTGAGAGTAAGGGGGGTGACAGTGTGGGAGTCACAGGGTGGGTGACAGTAAGAGGTGGGGTGACAGGGTGAGAGGTGGGGTGGCAGGGTGAGATGTGGGGTGACTGGGTGAGAAGGGGTGGCAGGGTGAGGGGGTGACAGGTGGGGTGGCAGGCTGAGAGGGGGTGACAGGGTGAGGGAGTGGCAGAGTGAGAGGGAGTGAGGGATGACAGGTGGGGTGGAAGGGGGATGACAGAATGAGAGGTGGGGTGACAGGGTGAGGTGACAGAGTGAGAGGGGGATGACAGGGCAAGGTGACAGGATGAGAGGTGGGGTGACAGGGTGAGAGGTGGGGTGACAGGTGGGGTGGCAGGGTGAGATGTAGGGTGAGGGGGGATGACTGGGTGAGAAGAGAAGGAAGGGTGAGGGGTGACAGGTGGGGTGGCAGGGTGAGAGGGGGTGACAGGGTGAGGGGGTGGCAGAGTGAGAGGGAGTGAGGGATGACAGGTGGGGTGGAAGGGGGATGACAGAATGAGAGGTGGGGTGACAGGGTGAGAGGGAGGTGACAGGGTGTGACAGGTGGGGTGGCAGGGGGTGACAGGGTGAGGTGACAGAGTGAAAGGGGAATGAGAGGGCAAGGTGGCAGGGTGAGAGGTGGGCTGGAAGGGGGATGACGGGATGAGAGGTGGGGTGGCAGGGTGACAGGTGGGGTGGCAGTGTGAGAGAGGGGTGGCAGGGTGAGATGGGGGTGACAAGTGGGGTGGCAGGGTGAGATGGGGTGAGAGGTGGGTGGTAGGGTGAGGAGGGTGACAGGTGGGGTGGCAGGGTTGAGGGGGGGTAGCAGGGGTGACAGCATGAAAAGGGGGGTGACAGGTGGGGTGGAAGGGTGAAGGGGTGAGACGGGGTGACAGGTGGGATGGAAGGGTGAGATGGGGGTGACAGGTGAGTGGCAGGGTGAGATGGGGTGACAGGTGGGGTGGTAGGGGTGAGAGAGGGGTGACAGGTGGGGTGGCATGGTGACGCATGAAAGGGGGGTGACAGGTGGGGTGGCAGGGTGACAGGGTGAGAGGGGGGTGACAGGTGGGGTGGAAGGGTGAGATGGGGGTGACAGGGGGGGGGGGTAGTGTGAGAGAGGGGTGACAGGCTTAAGTGGCAGGGTGAGGGGGGGTGACAAGGTGAAGTGGCAGGGTGAGGGAAGGACAGGTGGGGTGGGCAGGGTGAGGTGGTGAGATGGGGTGACAGGGTAACAGGGAGTGACAGATGGGGTGGCGCATGAGAGGGGGGGTGACAGGTGGGGTGGCAAGGTGACGGGGGGAGGGGGGGTGACAGGTGGGGTGGAAGGGTGAGATGGGGGTGATAGGTGGGGTGGCAGGGTGAGATCGGGTGACAGGTGGGGTGGAAGTGTGAGAGATGTGGGGTGGGGTTGACTGGGTGAGAAGAGGAGGCAGGGTGAGGGGGTGACAGGTGGGGTGGCAGGGTGAGAGGGGGTGACAGGGTGAGGGGGTGGCAGAGTGAGAGGTGGGGTGGCAGAAAGGAGTGACAGGGTCAAATGTGGGGTGAGAGGGGAGGCAGGGGTGAGGGGGGGTGGACAGGTGGGGTGACAGTGTGACGGTGACAGGTGTGTGGGAGGACAGGGTGAGGTGGGGTGACAGGGGTGAGGGGGGGGGTGACAGGGTGAGGTGGGGGTGACAGGGTGGGGGTGACAGGGTGGGGGGGGCGATGGGTGAGGTGGGGTGACAGGGTGAGGGGGGGTGACAGGGTGAGGTGGGGTGACAGGGTGAGGGGACAGGTTGAGGTGGGGGTGACAGGGTGAGGTGGGGGATTAGGGGGTTAAAAATTTACCTTTTTCCCTGGTGGTCCAGTGGTGGCACTCAGACTCCCTGGTGGTCCAGTGGGCTTTCCGGTCTGCAGCTCCGCCGGATGCAGAGCTGCAGACCACATGGGGATTGTCTCGCGAGCTCCATTCAGAGCGTTGCCGTGGTAACCCGCGGCAACGCTCTGATTGGCTGGAGAGCGCGAGACACCTCAGTCTGCAGCTCACACCCGGCGGAGCTGCAGACTGAGGCCAGCTCTCTCCCCGGGCGGACTGACAGGAGGGGCCTCGCACCCGGCGGCACAAAGGGCAAGCCGCCGGGCCCCCTCCTGTGTCGGGTCCTCGGTCATTGACCGAAGACCCGACAGTTCAGTCTGCCCCAAGGCGATTTAGGCGGCCGCGAGGCCCCACACAGCGCGAGGCCTTAGGCGGCCGCCTAAATCGCCTAATTAGAGAGCCGCCTCTGGTCAGCGGTGTTTGTTGAAATGTGTAGCCGATTTCAGTTCCATGGATTTGGCTACACATACCGCTGACCTCATTCGAATGAACAAAGATGACTACTGTGGCACTTCGGGTGTATCCGAAGTGCCAATTTAAAGCTCCAATACAATTTAAAGGGGCAGCAAGGGGCAGCTAAAATGGTCTTCACCAGGCAATATCTTCCAGGGGCCATAGTCTTAAAGGGGCATTGTTCCCAAAAGTCACAGTATGTCCCCAGATGGTTCTTAAAGGGCCAGCAGCAGCACAACAAAAATCCATTATGCCCAAATCTTGTATTTAAAGGGCTAAACCTCCCAGGGACCATAATCACATGGCAAGAGGCTGGCAAGCCGTCCTCTCCAGGCACAAGTGGCGAGGTTAATTTCGCCACACCCATGTTTCTGCATATTCTATTGGACAAAGCATCATAAATTCTTGTGAATTTCTGGGAGTTTTTTTAAAGAAATTGGAGATGTACAAGCCACGTGATAAAAAGGGGTTGCCACCTGGAATGTCATGCCTCAATTGTCAGCTTTGGTTAATAAACTTCAGAGTAGATTCCATAAGGTTCATATTCTAATTCCTCTGCCTTGTGTGCAGGAAACATGTACTCCCTGCTATCTGTAAAACCCCCTTCCTCCCTTCTGGTGCCTCTTCATGTTCCCCAAAGGCTATTGCTTGGTCCAGGTCCCACAGATGTACCCCCACGAATCCGGATTGCTGGGGCTCAACCAATGCTTAGTCCACTGAACCCAGACATGATACAGGTAAGGATTTACTTAGTAAGAGATTCCCAAAAATAAACAAAACAAAGTACAAGATACAGGACTGGTGTCCTAGGTGAGATCGTATGAGATACAGATCTGTGACTATGCTCGGATGGTATCTGCTATCCTGATATATTCTAAATTGTTTCATAGATACACTATTTAATTAAATGGTTAGTGCATTGGGAATAAATGTGAATCCAGTAGTCTGTAAGAGGTAGCCAGCACTTTCTCTCACTCAATTTCTTCCATCCATATTTACTTCTGCATCATTGTTATAGTGCTTTGTACACACAGGTACACTTTCTTTTATGTAAAAAAAATATAATTGATCTACACAAGGCACTTTTCTTTCTTGCTTTATATAGAAGCACTCTGGGTTTTTTCTCTACTTTGTATAACACCAGATTGATGCAGAGAACAGAAAGAATCTCCAGACACTCACAGAATTCAAGCCACGGGCAGGTTTATTGGATCAAAAAGGCAAAGCAACGTTTCGACCTGCTGAGAGATCTTTATCAACCAGATTAATGCACGGCATTAATCCTATTCGAGCCCACGGCTTGCATGCTATATTACTGTTATTGGCTTTCCTGGTATTTTAACCCAGGCTAGTTTTGACTATTTTACAATTCAATATCCATAACCTGGCTAGCTTTGACTACTCTGTTTTCTGTTATCCTGACCTGGCAAGTCATTCTGGACTGAGTTTATATTAGCTTTTAGTTGCTAAAAAAAAAATTATTCCATCATGGATTAAACCTGACTATTCTAAAGTTTGGTAAAACACCTAACGATCATCATACTTTTATCCTTTGGCAGAATACTAACCTATACTTTGCTGAGGATCAAATGTAACCATGGCAGAAGAGTGGTGATGAGCTTTGGCACAGACCATCCTCTTCAAAAATATTAAGATCACAATGTGCTTCATTTTGCTAAATAACTAAATGCCCCAAAGTCAATTCACCGTGTTCTGTCTTTGCCTACAGATAATGGATGACATTAAGAAGGGGATACAGTATGCATTCCAGACCCAGAACCCCCTGACCATAGCGTTGAGTGGCTCTGGTCACTGTGCTATGGAGGCAGCGCTTTTTAACGTGGTGGAGAAAGGAGACGTGGTGCTTATTGCAGTAAAAGGAATTTGGGGAGAGCGAGCAGCTGACATTGCAGAGAGGATAGGTAAGAAAATGATATGGATCGGATCAGCTTAACTCACATTTAAAACATGATTTTGCAAACTCTGTAACCAGCAGCCATTCCTAAATTCCCTACATTTATGCTGTTAGAATATTTAAAAATACTTTTTATAATCTGTGATTGGCTGAAAATGTATATTATCAATAGGGCATTGTACATATGTGATTGGCTGATATATATTAAGGGATTACTGCTCATCTGTTATTGGTAGAATACTATTAATAATAATAATAATAATAATAATAATAATAGAATAAACTTCATCTGTGACTGGTAGAAAAATATTATTATTATTATTATTATTATTATAACAACAGGACAGCCTTCTTCCATGTCAGAAACATAATATTATAACAGGGTAGTCTGATTATGTGATTGGCAGAAACATTGTCTTTTTAGCCATCTAATATTCCTCTAAGATC